ACCCAGTGAGGTAGGTGGGGCTGAGAGAGCTCTTGACAGAAACTGCTCTTTTTCAAGAACAGCTCTTATCAGAGCTATGGCTTGCCCAAGGTGATCCAGCCCAGGTGCAAGTGGAGGAGTGGGGAATTAAACCCGGTTCTCCCAGATTAGAGTCCGTGCACTTAACCACTACACCAAACTGGCTCTACACCACCACTATACCAAAATGCTAGAATACATATTATTATTTCTGTAACAGGCTAACATGAAGTCGTGTTTGGAATTTGTTACCAGGAAAGGCAGGTGAAAGCTGTGTGTGTATGTGTGTGCATACAGGCAGTCATATGCACACAACTCCTTGTAAGCAAGGGGCTGGCACTAGTGATACTAGCAATGAGATACTAGCAGTATTCTGGTACTAGTGCTATTTCTCCTACAAGATAGTGACAAGGAATTAAATTAAGCTGTTCCAAGAAACTCATCTGTGCAAGTGAAGTCATTACAGAGAGTGCATTGTAGTTATCATTAATCACAGGCAAGGAAAGGCAGCTGATGCCAAGCAGTGAAGTCAGGATAAAAGAACACTTGGCTTTACAGTAGGTGAGAGGTTGAAAACCCAAGAAAATTAGACCCGAATAATAAAAAAGTTGCAAGTCTACTGAGGGCTATAATGAACCATTTTAGTGAATCTTTCCTCCCTTCCTAATTGCTTGATGAAATATTTATTATTCATTTATATTCAGTTTCCAGAAGTATTAGGTTATAAGAATGTCATTTACAAATACTTTTTCCCCTTTTCTCTCTCTCTCTCTTTCTCTTTTTTGCTTTCTTTGTGGTTTGAATGGAGTCTGAATTATTATTTTCCTGTAATCAGAAATCTTTGTATAATCCTAGCGTGGGAATATTCTCATTCTTCCAGAGTATAATATTCAGTCATCAGCAAAGTATAATGCCAAGCATGTTTTTTTCTCGAATTAGGGCTAAAGGATAGAAGAGGACTGAGCATAAGGTTTAGGCGGGTTTAAACTCTAGAACTTCTCTTTGTGGAAGAAGAAGCACTTCACTGCTGGAGGCTGAGGAGCTGAAGGGGCATAATATCGTGGACGTTTTAAGCCCCACTCCCTCTCAGTGTGAAGAAGCAGGAAAGATCGAAATAAATTTGAGCCAAGATTCATCCTTTTTCTGAACAGAGGTGCTGTATACATCTGTGTAGATGTATTTTGCAGTTATTATATAGTAATGACCAGAGGTCATTTCGGGGGGGATCGCGGGGGATCGCAGTTCCCCCGGGTGAGGTACGGGGGGTGGGGCACATGACAAAGCCCCGCCCCCTGCTTCCGGCCACCCCGCTTCCGGCCCTCATTCAGCCAGGAGGAGGCAGGAGAAGAGGGAGGGTAAGTTGCTTCCTCCCTGCCTCTCCCCACCCCTGTCTGCCTGGGGCCAGGGAGGGCCTTCGCGGGGCTTCCTTACACTCCTGCCGACCTTGCAGGTCCACCGCCGGGCCCCTCATGGGGCTCGGCAGTGGAGCTGCAAGGCCGGCAGCGGTGGCCGGGACCGTTGGGGGCGGGGTGTGTGGCCTTATGACACACTTCCGGTGATGTCAGGGGTGTGGCATATGCTAATGAGTTATGCTAATAAGTTCCCCTAGCTCTTTTTCTACGAAATGACCCCTGAAAAAAAAGCCTTTTATATCTCTTGAGAGAAGAAAGTGAGGATGCTAATGAAAACTATATAGGGCTCCTGGCAGGATCAGTTCCCCCTGCATAGCTGATAGTATGCCATACTGCAGATATATGGCTTTTAAGACTTCTTTTGCATGCCTGCTTGTGGTAACCTCTGCACATGTAAACTGCAGATGGGAGGCAATAATAGGCATTAAAATCTCAACTACATTTCACACTTAGATGATAATTAATTTCCCTGTTATTCTTATTTTTTGATCTGGTAAGCCGTATCATTGTGATTATACACAGGTACCATGTTAGCTATCTAGTGATATGAAAATACTACATGGTAACATTGAGACTAGACTACTGGAATACGTTTCCCCTTGAAAATCAACTTTGGGACTCCATTTGCCGCAGAATGCTGCAGCTCCATTATTACCAGGAGTCTGACAGACTGTGCATATTACTCCCATTCTGTAGTTACTCCCATTTGCTGTTCATCAGTAAGTAGGCTCAATTCAAGGCACTGGCTGTCACATACAAAGCCCTTCATGCCCTTGGACCCGTATATCTGCAGGACTGTCTTTCCCCTGTGCTTCACCACAACAGCTTCACTCCTTTGAGCAGGGCCTTCTGCAGGTACCACCCTGCAAATAGGCAAAATCATCAGCTGCCCATATACATGCATTCGCTGTTGTGGCCTCCACCTTATGGAATGGCTTGCCTGGTAAAGTTAGGAAGGGTCCTACTCTCCTGGTTTTCCATAAACAATGCAAAACTGAATTATTCAGAAGAAGAGAGTAGGTTTTTATACCTCACTTTTCTCTGCCTTAAGGATTACATGCCCTTTCTCTCTGTACAACAGACAGTGAGGTAGATGGAGCTGAGAGAGTACTGAGAGCACTGTGACTGCCCTAAGATCACCCAGCAGGCTTCATGTGAAGGAGTGGGGAATCAAACCCGGTTCTCCAGATTAGAGTGTGTCAGTCTTTACCACTTCACCATACTAGAGGACTTTTTAATACAGGTAATAGGGCTATGCTGTAACAAAATAGTTCAGGAAGAGACTTTGGTAAAGGTATAGGGACTGTAGACTATACTACCATGTCAAGTACCTACTGTCTGCTGCTCTTAGTGTGTTCCTAGTACATAATTTCTGTATCTTTTAACATGTCATGTTAATGCTTTTGTTTCAGCTGTTTCTGATTTCTGCTTGTTGCTATTGCACTGATGATCAGATGTCTCATCCTGTTGATTGTATTGACTTGCACTGCACAGTCCAATTTGAGTCTTAGTAAGAAAGGAAGACTGTAACTATGACAGTTAGATGTGAAATCACCAGGCCTCTCCCAGTGACTCTTATGATTTTGGATGATGGAGACCCGGCAACTCTAGACCTCTTCAGAGTGCTCGTAGCCCCCCCCCCCACACACACACACACAAAATTTTTGGCTACTGCTGTGTGTAATTGTATGGATTGTGTGAATTGGCTGTTGCTTATAGAACAAGTAGTCATCTGTGTGTTCACTGTAGGAAAGCTGAATGTATTGTTTAAAAAATACTTTTGTGAGTTTGGTTGTGTTTGTTGGTACAGATGATGTTGGTATCAATAGAGTAACTATAATTACTTGTCAAGCGGATTACACATTGAGGGAGCAAGGGCTGAGGAAAGTAGATCCTCAATCATGCAGGGAAAGAAGGATGTGCTGCTATCTTGATTCCCTGCTTCCTCCACCTCCCAGTCAGCTGCTGTTATTTCAATTTCCCATCAATATTGCTGAAGTAACATACCTGCCAGGATCTGATGACCTTTCAGAGAGCAGCATTTTATTTATATGTTAGTTTTACATATCAGAATTCCTCAAAGGACAGAGTAGGGTTGGCAACACCAGCTACCCTGTGAGAGAGGCTTGGCAGAGAGAGAAAGAGAGATTTGTACAAAGCTACCCAGTGAGCTTCTTGACAGCTGTTTGAAGGTTTTAAATTCTTGTTGCAAAGTAACTGTCTAGTAAACAATGAAGAAATTATCTCAGTGCTCACTGAAAAGCTGATAGTAGTAGGAGTCTCTCCCTCAATAAGACAATTGGTTTTCTAGAGAGGATAATTACATGGTTATTGTGCTTTCTCAGTTAACTGAATTATATCTTGGAGATGAACAAAATTAAAGTGCATTTCAGCCTGGCACAAATCAGTGTACGGAATGATTAAAGTTCAGATTGTGACAATGTTGCATTTATTTATTTATTTATTTATTGGATGCTTACCTGGTTGATTTTATGGATGTAGTAGATTTTATGCCTTGCCATAGTCTTACATTCTCATCGATGTAGAGACCCTGATTTCTGATTCCAGGAAGCTGATGACCTACAAAGATTTTTGCAGTGAGCTACCAAGCAATCTAGTCTGCCTTGAGTTTCTACCAACACTATTGAACACAAAGAATGACTGATCATCTGGTTGATGTTTAGGAATCCTCTGAAAGCCTAACCAAGTATTGGCCCTAAGCAGGGCAAGTCTGGCTAATGAGTTTATTGTCCAGACTAAGGAATGTTAGATAACACAGAATGGATGTTACCATTAATGAGTAGCAATGAGGCAGGAGACAAAAGATACAAACCTGAGGTCCCCTCCCATTATAACAATACAACTATGTGTAGAGGAGCATAGACATTATTATCTCTACTGATCAACAAGTCTTAAGTTTGGTCAGCTGCACTTTGTGACAGTCGTGATCAGTGTTCCCTCTAAGCTGAGTTAGTGTGAGCTAGCTCACAATCTTTTAGCCTTCAGATCACAGATTTTTCTCTTAGCTCAGGAAGGAGGGCTCCAGAGCAAACTAGTTTCTGCAGCAGTCAAATGGCTCGCTCACCACTTTAATGCCAGGAGCTCACAAAGTAGAATTTTTGCTCACGAGACTCCGCAGCTTAGAGGGAGCCTTGGTCGTGATTGTTTTCTGATTTTCAAAAGCCAGCTTGTTCATACCTCTGTTACATATTTTAATGATAATGAACACCAGAGATTTGTTTTTAGGGGTGTACAGTTTTTGTTGTTTTAATTTTTGCGTACGGTCATAAAAATCATCCCACACACACACCTGTTTTCTTTATCACACTTCTGTTTTTTATTTGTAGGGTGTGTTTTATTTTGTTTTGCAGCAGCATTTTTAAGCAATTGATGCTAAAATGATCAGCAGTATTTAAAGGCAGTATTTCTTTCAAATTGCTTTGTTATAGTGGGGTGGGGATGTCTGCAATTTTATCCTGAGTGTGGGGAAACAATAAAGAAAATGAATACTCAAATTAAGCCAGAGGTATCACAACATTTAGAAACATCCCTGTTTTTTTTTAATTGCAGAATAACTGACCATGACTACAGAATCTGGATCCGACTCTGAATCTAAGGATCAGGATCAAGAGCAGAAAGAGGCATCTGGTCAACAAGGAACCACGGGGACTGGGACTCAAAAACAGCAGCAGCAACTCAGTGAAGAACAGCAGAATGAATTAGAACAATTCTCTGCTGTAGCAGCACATAGCACTCCAGTAAAAAAGGAACAGGCAAGTTATCCTGATTAATTATAAAAAATTTAATATGTGACAGCAAACTAAAATATGGTTTTACTCAGACACAAATATTCATCTTATTAAACAGTTTTAATGTCTTTTAAGACTATTTCTTTATTATAATTCTGGCATGATTAAGAAATATTGATCTACATGGGTCTGTATTTGGGAAGGGGGTTAGAAACTCTCTTTTTTCATTTCACAGATGTGTCGGATTATCCTTCCTGCTGTGCTTAATTTAGAGTCCACTGCTGCTGTTAGAGGAGGGGGGGAAACCTATCACTATTTCATCTTCATGTTAGAGCACACCAATTTGTGGAGAAGCAGGAAAACACTGGAGACACATTTTTGCTTTGACACCTGCTGAAATCTAATTTCAGTCATGGTAGTGTGATGTTTGAAACCAACAAAATCTCAAGTTTATTAAACCCATACAGTTCTTAATTGATTGCCCTCTCTTGCAAACCTCTGTTTCTTGCATGGCAGGAAAGATCAATTCATTACATACTTGGTCATCCTGAACACATCCAGGGATTTATACCACCCACCCACCCACCAGCCCTTAGGGTTTGTGCCTCTTCCACCATTTTGAGGCATCTCATAGGGCACAGGTATCCCTCCAACTCTCTTCAGCTATAGCCGGGGGGACTGGTGTCAGCATACTTGGCCTGTTTCCCATCCACCCCCACCCCATGTATCTTAGCTTGCCGCTATGTATGTTGTGTGTGCAGGGTTAAGTAATCCCTTCATATGGCCAGTTCAGATGCCACGATTGCATTGGTTCAGTGTAGCAAACCTCCCTTTCTGCGATTGCTGGGTGGTATAATTCACATATAGATGGTATGTGATTTCTAACTGATTGCATTATAACCAGGGGTCTTTTGGGGCCGGAGCGCGCGGGAGCGCCACTCCAGGAGCCCAGGCACCGGAAGCGGGGGCAGCAAGCCCCGCCCCCAGCTCCCTGTGCTGCGGCCCCCTGCTGCCTCCCCAGGCCAGCGCCGGAGCACTGCAGCCCTGGGAGGCCAGAAGAGGACCCCCTGCCACCTCCCAGGGCCAGCGCCGGAGCGCTGTGGCCCGTGGGAGGCCAGAAAAGGGGGGGGCCGCCGCCTCCCAGGGCCATAATATTGATTATGGATGTGAAAAAGGTACAACATGTTAAACTAGTCTCTGTAACAAACACTCCCTGGGTCTGTGTGTTCTCATATGCATGTTTGTCTGCATGTAAAAGTGTGTCCTCTTCAGTGCCACCACCTCAAGATATACAGCCTATCACGTAGTCAGTGTCTTGGACAATCCTACTAAGGCTGCTTCTGAGGAACTGCAAAGGGCAGAGCTTTCAATCACTGTAACTCCCTCTGTGCATCCATATCCTTAGTGTGTAAGAACAGTCCTCAGCATGTGAGTGGGACTTGAGTCACAGTCTGCTTTATTAAACAGAAAAGAAGCTTTATGACTAAAGATTGAACTAGAGCACATATATGGAAAATAGCTGTCTGGCCTAGCAGATACAGTTCTAAGGAAAAGAACGCATAAGTTACAATACAAGACAGACTCCCTACTGCCCCTTTGCAGTGGGGTTTCTGATCTTGGGTACTTCTAAAGTATAATTTCTGAAGTGTTTACCCTCTTGACTAACTGTCAGTGGATCAACTCTTATTTTAGTGAAATTCCTAACTGGATTTTAAATTCTGCATATAAACTATGCAAATAATTTTCAATTGTCCCATGCTGTTAGCTAAAGAAAGGCAGTTGTGCTGCGTGAATGTAACACTTTTATCATTTACCTTAGCAGATATATTTGAGTGAAAATACTGACCTTTATTAGATATGAATGAAGGAGTTGCATCTTGCAGCCTGTGTCATCCTGTAATGTTAAGGATTTCCCCCCCAGTATTCTACCATTTGAATAGTGGGGGAAAGGGTTCTATATTTGAATGCTCCTTATGTGGTTTGTTTACAAACATTTAAATTCCCGCTAACAGCTGAAATGTTACAGTCATTGGAAAATTTAATCACACAGGCTTGCTGCATGTGTAGAAAAATAACCGTCACACTCAGTTTTCTTTTCAAAGCTGGCCCATCTCTTGGGTAATGTGTTTCTACAGAAAAGGGATTTCTCCTGAAATTAAATCCTTGAGTAGTTAAAAAGAAAGAAAGTAGTCCTAGGGCTGGATGCAGTATCTCTTGTCTACTAATGAATAGAGATGGAAAATTTTGAAGCCATTGGGGGGGGGGGACTTTTCAGAAAAAAACCTGAAATGTTGGCGAAAATGGACATGAAATATATACGTATATTGAAGTATATGCAATACTTAGTCCAATCAAACATAAGCTAATTTTACTGCTTTAAAAAATAAATTGCATCATTTATAACTTACTTAGCATATAAAATTGTGATGTAATACATATTTATGGAATCTAAAATTGCAAATATATCCTGTATTGGGAAGAAAACTGCAAGACGATGCACCCTGTGTACCTTAAATTTTGCTATCTGGTTAGAGACAGCTCAGTTCTCAGTGAAACTTGTGGGAAGGGAGAGATCAAAAGGAGGTGAGCTAGAAAGTGCAACAAAGCCTCAGAGGAAAACTCTGAAAGATAGGGCAATAAGATATTTGTGAGTGGGTGTGTCACAGTGGTTTGAGGGAAAGGTGAGAAGATCAACCACAAGTCAGGTCAAATGGGCAACAGAAGTCATGCAGCTGTTGAAAAGCATTGAAAGCCCTGCATGCTCCCTTCATGAAGATTAGTTATCCATCTAGGTGCAGAAATGTATCTTGGACTTAAGAGCTGTATGTGTCTACAGCGTGCCCACCTTGTCTTTAAACAAGTTTCACTCGTTCAAACAAAGACAAGATTTCATAGGAGTTTCTTTCAGAATTCCCCCCAATTTCCAATTCTTTCATCAGAAAAACTGAAAAAAACATATTGGGGAACCCCCCCCCCATTTTTGCATTTCTGCTAATGGGGGATTTTCCTCTGTTGCTAGTAATGTTATATTGAAGAGCGAGCCCTGTCCTGCTGGCTCAAGGCTGATTAAACTAGCAGAACACTTGTTACATCCATCTGTGGAATGCTCTGCCAAGAGCAGAACAGAAATGTATCTGTAGACTTCACTGTTCTTTAAATGGTAGCAGACTGTGGGTTTTTTTAAGTAGTAACTTTTGATATGGTGCCTTCACTAAGCTGCTTCAGTAATGTATCCATGTCAGACAAATTTCTGTCACAAAACTGAAGATAATGGATTTCAGTTGTCCCATATGTATCATTTAAAAAAGTTTTTTATTGAAAGCATTTCAACTACAGTGTTTGAGGTTTACAAACACTTCCAGGGTTGCCAGCCCCCAGGTGGGAGCGGGGGATTCCCCGATTTCATGGGCGCCTCCCCCAACAGCCATATCCCAGCGTGACATCCCTGATGTGGTGATGTTATCATGCTGAGGATGACGTGTGGCGACACTCTGGTATTTTGGGCAGAACTCTATGGTGACCATAGAGTTTTGCCCCAAATACCCAAGCGTCGCCATGTGATGTCCCCAGTGTGATGATGTCCCTTCTGCATGGCATCATTGTGGGAAAATCATGCACGGTGACATTGCCCCACCCACCCCCACTCCCGGAAAGCTCCCTCCCACCCCTGCTGGTGAGGAGGTAAGACCCAGCAACAATGCTCCCTCTAAGCTGTGGAGTCCTGTGAGCAAAACTTCTACTATGTGAGCTACTGGCATTAAAGTTGTGAGCCAGCGATTTGGCTACTGCACAAATTAGTTTGCGCTGGAGCCATCCTTCCTGAGCTAAGGCAAAAATGTGTGAGCCGGAGGCTAAAAAACTCTGAGCTAGCTCACGCTAACTCAGCTTAGAGGGAACACTGCCCAGCAACCCTAAATGCTTCACTTAAAAATGGCAGATCGCCCCAATTCAAATTCTAAAAGTTTGTCTGAAAATGTATACCGTAATGATTTCATGTTTTGATGTGTATGTTTCTTTAAATTTTTAGTGTGACTGCAGTAATGTAGGAGAGTGATAGAGGGAGATAAGTGTGATGTGATTGGCTGATGACTGAGAGTGTGGTAGGAGGAGAGATGTCTCTGAGGTGATTCAGTGTTCATGAACAGATGAGTGTGGAGAGTTTTGTGTGAGAGTCTGTATGATGGAGGAAGAAACTGGAGTTTAGTTTAGCCTGTGTGGCTATGAGAGAGAAAGTTCAGCCTGTGTGGCTATATGAGCAAGAGAGTAGCCTGTGTAGCTATATATATGAGAGAGAGATAAGCCTGTCAGAGTTGAGTTTTGGTGTATGAGAGACTGTGTGTGCTGCCAAGCTTTGTCAGATATATTTTCTGTCTTCAAACACAGTTCAAAATACCCAGAAACTTATTTTGTTCTTTTATAAATAAATCAATATTTGTTTAAACTTATCCCAGCAATCAGAACAGTCCTTCCTCAGGGCCACATACTCCTCCTGACACTGGGTCATTCTACCAAAATAGAGAGTTGAAATTTTTACTTCCTGATGATAGCAGAAATCTACTAAGTTAATGTACACAGAGTGTGGTTTAAAGGAGAAACAGTCTCCCCAGTAAGCGAGGACGCCACCAATGCTCCCTCTAAGCTGTGGAGTCTTGTGAGCAACAATTCTACTTTGTGAGCTACTGGCATTAAAGTTGTGAGCAAGCGATTTGACTACTGCATCAATTAGTTTGCTCTGGAGCCATCCTTCCTGAGCAAAGACAAAAATGTGTGAGCTGGAGGCTAAAAAACTGTGAGCTAGCTCACACTAACTCAGCTTAGAGGGAACACTGGACGCCACATATACCTTTTCTAAGTATTAGAAGGGAGGCTTGCTGACAATTATTAATTTATTTAGAACATTTTAATACTGCTTTCCCACCCAATTTTGGTCCCCAAGGCAGCAAACAGTCAAGACCATTAAAACAGCTTTTGAAAATGCATATTATAAAACCAATTAAGAACAACAATTAAAATAGACAAAAAGG